ATTCCTGCTCCCTAGGCCAGTGTTGCCCAACTCATCCAGCTGCTGCCACTCATCCTGCTCCCAAATTTCTGGATCCATGGGGAACCCCACAGGTCAGATGATACAGCTCCATGGATTGTATTTGGTCCACAGGCCATATCTTGATCACCGTTGCTTTAGAGCAAGGAGGGAGAAGACAGGGTAGAGCCAGCTGCACTGTGTCACCATCATGCCAGGAGATTTCAGCTGTCCTTGTAGGACAAGCTGCTGCTTTCTCTATGAAATAGGGAGGGCAGCTGGGGTTGAGGCCAAGGATCTGGCCCATGATTTGTAAAGCCTGAGATATGGTGAGACAGAAGAACAAAGTATTATAACAGAAGTTTGTGACATTTGATCCTACTCATTGAAACTTGAAATGCATGAAGATAACAATTAACTGGGAAGGATTATAAACAAATACAGTGGAGTTGCATCATACACACATTTAACTTACGCAACTTCAACTATATGCGTTGGGAAAAAAAAAGAAAAAGAGAGCAATAATAATTTAAATAGCGCGGGCGATTCCGCCCGCCACTCTGGTCCACTTCCAGGTGCTCCAGGGGGCATGCTGAGGGCCCCCCCTCAGCAATCAGATCGACCCCGGGTGCCCCCCAGACCCAGGAGGCACCAGTCGCCAAGCTGGGACTGGGTAATTTTGACTATATGCGATTTTCGCCTTGCGCACTGACTTTAGAACCTAATCCCCGTGTAAGATGCGACTCCACAGTACTTCATATTTGTTTGTAATCTGGCCAATTTGAAACTGGCCAGCTGTGGCCTTGGGTCTACCACAATCCGCTGGCTGGGAAATTGGCTCCGTGGTCGGACCCAGAGAGTGGTAATTGACGGAAGTCAATTGTCATGCTGCCCTGTGACCAGTGGGGTCCCCCAAGGCTCTGTCCTTGGACCCGTATTGTTCAACATCTTCATTAATGATATGGACACTGGAGTCAGAAGCGGACTGGCCAAGTTCTCCAATGACACCAAACTTCAGGGCAAAGCATCCACACCTGAAAACAGGAGGGCAATCCAGGCTGACCTGGACAGGCTCAGCAAATGGGCAGATGAGAACCTGATGGTGTTTAACACTGAAAAATGCAAGGTTCTCCACCTTGGGAGGAAAAGCCGGCAGCATCCTTATAGGCTTGGCAGTGCTACGCTGGCTAGCACTATGGAAGAAAGAGACTTGGGGGGGTCATCACTGACCACAAGATGAACATGAACCTGCAATGCGATGCTGCAGCTAGTAAAGTGACCAAAATGCTGGCTTGCATCCATAGATGCTTCTCAAGCAAATCCCAGGACGTCATTCTCCCGTTGTACTCGGTCTTGGTGAGGCTGCAGCTGGAGTACTGTGTCCAGTTTTGGGCCTCACAATTCAAAAAGGATGTGGAGAAGCTTGAGAGAGTCCAGAGAAGAACCACACACATGATCAGAAGTCAGGAAAACAGACTTTACGACGACAGGCTGAGATCTATGGGGCTCTTTAGCCTGGAAAAGCGCAGGCTCAGGGGTGATCTGATGGCCACCTATAAGTTTATCAGGGGTGACGACCAGTATCTGGGGCAATGTTTGTTCACCAGAGCGCCCCAAGGGATGATGAGGTCGACAGGTTATAAACTGCTGCAAGGCTGTTTCAGGCTGGACATAAGGAAGAATTTCTTTACTGTCCGAGCCCCCAAGGTCCATTTCTTTACTGTCCGAGCCCTCTGCAATAGCCTGCCATCGGAGGTGATTCAAGCACCTACATTGAACACCTTCAAGAGTAAATTGGATGCTTATCTTGCTGGGATCCTATGACCCCAGCAGACTTCCTGCCCTTTGGGCAGGGGGCTGGACTCGATGATCTTCCAAGGTCCTTTCTAGCCCCAATGTCTATGAAATCTATGAAATCTATGAAATATAATCATATTTGACACATGAACAGGAGGAAATGACACTCCAGAACCACCATTTGTATCTGTAAAACCATACTGTATTTTAAACTGATTCTTTCCTCCACGTGTTACCATTATTGTCATTTTATCAACATGTCTGGAAATATCATAGGAACTGTGCTAAATATTTAGTTCTCTACTCCTCCAAAATGTTTCCCAAGACAATGAATAACAGCAATGACTTCAGCATCCAAAACATCTTAGGTGCAAAAACAGTAATTAATTAAAGGAAAGGGAATCACTAGTATCTCATAAGATCCCTAATGGAAGTGGTCTCTTCCTTTAATGAGCTGGGATTTCTCCTGGCACTACAAACCAAAATTCTTTTCATAAAGAACTTGAGATGGCAAAGACTAAGTTATGCTTCATCACTTTTCCTCACAGATCATATGTAGAAAAAGAATATGAGTTGCCTGCCAGGCTTTGTATTTACTGACTCTGTCATGATTAATAGTGTTGTGGGAGTTTGGGAAAACTCAACCAGTTAGCAAACCTCTATTTTCTCCAAATCAAAGCTCTCAGTGCCAAAGTTTCAAAGGGTCTTTTTAACTGTGCCCACAATATTTGCAAGTACATCTGTTTTTAGTGTTCAGAATCCTACACTGGTATCCAACCTTTTGAAAGTCTGACTATTAACAATCAATGGAAACATTTAAGCGAGGAATGCAAAGAAGCCCCCCCCTCCCCCCGCCCCTCCCTGTGTATTTTCTGTTTCATTAAATTGTTGTCTTTGTCACTCTAAAGGATCTGCCTGAAGCACTGCATAGGAAGTTACTGACAGATAGTAGGCAGGTCATCAACAGGACGCAGTCTAGATAAATCTCATCTGGAAGTGGCTGGAATGACTGTACAGTGGTATTAGTGTTCAGCTCTACCAACAGTAGGCTGAGGAGCTACCAGTTTTCTTCAAGAGTGATGGAAATAGGGTGCTCCATTCAAAATTAGCAAGACTAAGCTGTTTCTCCCACAAACCCCATGCAGATATAGGAGGAGTTATGGAGGGGTGTCTGCTCTAAGGAGAATGGAGAATCAGGCAATCTGCTGCTATCTTTTTCTTCCTGAGTGACTCAGGAAGGAGTCGCAACAGATGGGGAAGAAGGCAAGCAACAGCAGATAAGATGGGGATCTATTGTACCAATTCTCCATAGATTGTACCAGCTTTTTCTTTGCTGCTGGATGAAATTCAGGTGGCTTTTATCAGTAAAACCCTATGCGATCTGGAGCCTGGGGGCACTATGTTCTCTGTAGGGGAGTGGGCTCCATAATCCACTTCCCTAACTTGTGTGCTTTTTCAACAAAATTGGTCAGATTTTTATTAAAAGGAGTCCTTGGATAGTCCTTGGACCTCTGACAATTTTGTGCATGCTCTCCCTGGTCTGCTTTTGCACAGGCATTTACTAACTGTACCTCAAAACACCCACTTCCCCTGCAACTGCAGCCTTCACAAGTAACCATACACATCTGAAGGCAAAACAGTATCTACAGCACAAGCTGCACTTCATGAGAAGTCTGGCCCTACTGACACTAAGGGATGAAGACAACCAAGCTGATCTTGTACAAAACACATCTAATGTTTCTGGGAGCATGGAGAATTCTCAGTCACATTAAGTGTTTGTTGCACCATTGAAAAAAGCTCTTTAAAATAATATTGTTCTGGCAGACTTGACAGTATTCATTCACAGTGAGAATCAGTGCTCCATTGATGCCCTTTTTTATATTTTATCCTGCATGTTGATAGAAGTAAAGCAGCTAATGCATTTGGAGAGAGAAGGACTACATGATCCTTCTGTCTCCACCTCCTGTGAATTCATGAATGTCAAGTCACAGTTATCATTAACAGTGGTTGTAGACCAGGGAAAATAGTAAGGAGGGGCCACTAAGGGCTTTTCTGCTGCAGTGGAGCTTGCCATGCCCATCTCATATATGCTGTCCCTTAAAACAAGTAATATAACCACCTCAGAGCAGTGCTGGGTGTGTGCAAATAGGCACACCTGAGACAGCAAGCTTTCTGATACATGCCAAGTGCCAGGCTTTATGCTCCCTAGCATGGTTTAGAAAAAGTATAGACATGCCTTTATTTGTCTGTTCAGCTGCATTTATACCACAGTCATGCTTGAACTACACAGCTTGCATCCTGGTAGCAGTCTACCTGCTGCATCATGGAGCTAGTGTTTACTGTGCTTTTCAGGCAGGCTTTTGCAGACTGTGCTGAACACCACACTACTGCACGCAGACCAGTCCTTGAGCTAGCATAAGGCAAGCGGTAGGATGTGTAAAGTGCAAAACTGTCAAAGCATCACGGACATCCCCTTTGTTGACTTTCTTTTTCTACTGTAGGAAACAGATAAGTTACACGATTCCCGAGGAACAGCGTCCAGGAACTATTGTTGCCCATATAACAGCTAAAGATCCAGATGATGAAGGCTTTATAAGCAGATTGACCTACAGCATCAGTCCTCCTAATGAGTATTTCTCCATAAACCCACGTAAGACAAAATACACAAAGCACTTCTTCAATCTAGCCATGCATTTTGGTGCAAAGAAAAGCAGCAACTCAGGCTTGGGAAGATCTTTTTGCTCCCATTTTAAGTTTTATTTGTCCTTCTGTGGCCACCTTGTGGAGGAGAAATGTTTAGGATTTTTCTAGACCCAGATCCTTTAGTCAGTTGAGTTGTACTTGACCAGGTATGAGAGAGAAAGGGAAGCCACAGTGCCTTGAACCCACTGGATCTGGCACTTCTGCATGAATTAGTACCGCAGTTATAAGTTGCTAGTCATGACACAAGGTAATGGAGAATTGGGTTCCATGACTCTTCAGCCTCTTTTAAATACTTTGATTTTCTGTAGCTTTTGGCAGAACTCCACATTAGTACACTATACAACCAAGAGTGTGCATAAATCCATTTCTTTACCTTCTTTTAGCTCTTTGGTGATAGTCCTGGACTGTTGACAAGTAATCTAGTTCTTCCAAAAGTGGCTGACAAAAGGCTACATAACTTAATAAAGAAGGGCTGAACACCAGAATTTACACACCACATCCCAGCTTGGAATGGCTCTTCTCCAATAAGTGAGATTTAGCACCAGCGGAGGATATTGAAAGGATGACACCAAAACATGAAACCATCTCACTAGCCACAGAGTGGGGACAGCGTGAGCATTAGCAGTGTACATTTCCCAAAACTGCTCTGCCCATGTGCTTCAAACCTGACTTGAGGAGACTCTGGTATGGGTGTATTGCTAGTGCAACTAATATCCATGCCCATTCAGTGACTGGTCTCTGCCAAGGCTGCCTGTGGTATTCTTGTGCTGAGGACACCTACTCACTGAGCAAGTGGATAAAACACACCTGTTCCTTTCACAAAGTTAGATAAACAGCTGTATTGCAGCTGTACAAAAGGCTCTTTAGCCTATTACTAGTTCTCTGATCCACTGAGTCCTGGAGGAGACCATCTGCTCTTCAAACACTAGTGCTTGTAGTTTTCCTACAGCAAGGATCTAACCTCTGATACCTTTCCTGCAGTAACTGGTGTCATCCAAGTGGCTAAACGAATAGATCGCGAAGCTTCTACATTCCAGCTACATCCAAGAATCTCATTGTTAATACATGTGGAGGACAGTCCCAGGGGTGGACAAATGAACGAAACAGAGATAACAATTATTATTGAAGATATCAATGACAACCCACCAGAATGCAAGCAGTATACCTTCAGGTACTAAGCTAGTCATACCATCTTGTATGACACATATACACTGAGACCATTGTCCAATCTTGGACACCTCACCTCAGTAAAGTGTCCAATGGCTACATTCAGGTGTTCAAACAGGGTATTTACTATAAGCTGTTACTGGTAAGCTCTGACTGTGAATGGGATATGAACTTTGATTTGTTCAGCTTTGAAATCTTAACCCAAAAATATCTGTGCAACATGAGAAGCAAGGTTTTCTTGGTGATATCTTTTATTGGATCCATTGTATAGTTGGGAGAGATGTTAGATAAGCTTTCAGGTACATGCCCTTCTGCAGATCACCTTGTCTATCATATCTCCTATCTATACAAAGACTTTTCTCCTTTCTCATTTTATGCTAATATATTAAGTGGATTCATTCTATGCTGCTGATTTCCAGGGGCAATAGTCAAACTATTCTGGCTGTTTTGTTTTAAGCTTCTGCCATTCTTTACCCACCTCCCTTTCTTTATATTCAGTCCTGTGCTATGAGATTGCTTAATTTTTGCATGCTTGGTTTTGCAACCTTAATAGTGTTCTGCTAACAGGTTTTGGTTTATGAACTCCCTAAGTTTTTTAAAAATCATTTTTAAAGCAAACTGCAAACAACAAAAACTGACATGTGGCATTGTTTTGGCCTCCCTCACACGTCATCAGCAGGGTTGGAGCCTATAGTTCCACCTCACAGACCTCTGCAGCAGTTACAGGGAAGTCTAAGTGAGGCCTTTTGTCCTGTAAGTGGGGCTATGTGGTGATGGCACATGTGCAGTGTGATCAGTACTAGGAGCTGTGAGGGGCTGGGCCATGCTCAGTGGGGATGGGCATCTTCAGAGACTGTAGCTGCTGTACTCTGAAGAGGTCTCCACAGGGCATGAGTGAACTGGGAATTTTCAAAGGTTTATAATGTGGCCTAATTTGGGTGGATTTTCACAGGGATAGCAAAACACATACTCTTAACCACTCTGAGAAATAGCACATTTTTGCTTCCAAAGTATGTGTGCGCTAGAGTTTCTTAAAGGGAAGGTGGTTAATTTTTTTTTTAACCATTGCAAGACAATAAATTTTCCCCTGACCTTGTTCTCAGAAATGGCTAAACTCTTTTTCAGGTACTTTTAAAAAAGACTGAGCCTGAAACAGACTCCCAACATGAAAAGTTACAGCCCTAACAATTATGTTTAGTCAAACTTACAAACATTGAATATGAAGTATTATGACCCCAGATACAATAATCTTCTCACAATTTGGACTCTTTTACCCTTTGTGAGTCTAATTAACCATTTCATGACTGTAGCTTTTGGCTGTTATAAGTGCTTCCATTTGTAACAGAGTCAAAGGGAGTTGTGCCTGAACAAGGATTACAAGTGGGACTCTGTGGGCCTTGCTCTTATCTCACACCCACCTTAACCTGGATCTAACTCAGTTGACTTCTGTGAGTCTTTGAGAGCCCAAGGAGTCTGTGCCCAAGGCAGAGCACCAGTTACAAGGATATTTCCCATGGTGCTTGACACAGATATAAACCCCTGGCAGCTCAAGGAGTATTGGGTAAATTAACTGAAGCTTTTCTGATCCCATTCCATGTCAGCCAGGAGCAAGAATGGAGGGAGAGGGAAAGGAGATATTGTATGTAAAGTACAAAAGTAACTGGAACTGGAGCTTTTCACCAATATACAGGGCGTATTTACAGGAGACATTTACTGCAAAGTAGACTAATTAGCTCCATAGTAAACATCTCACATCTATACATGTGGCCCTATTAGGCTGCAGGAAACTAATAAACTCCACAGGTGGACTTAGTAAATACAAGTACTATCCTGATGCGGAGTTTTTTACTCTGCAGCACTACGTGTGTAGATGTTGATGTGGCTGGCTGGGGCGCAAGGGTGCTTCAGAGTGGGTCTGCCTGCCGGCTAGCCCTGCACTGGAGCACTGTCACGCCCCAGCCAGCACTAGAGTACCCTCATGCTCCAGCCAGCCCCTCCACAGCATGTTGATCTGAGTCAGCGCAGCTCTGGGCTGGCAGGCTGACTTCCTGGGCTCCCTGCCAGCTAGGGCTGCTCTGACCTGGCTCAAGGTTCTGTGGTCCTGTAAACATGGTGCCTGGGAGCAATAAACTCCAACATGGTAGGTGCCAAAGTTTATTGCTTTGCTTTAATACCACATGTAGATACATGCACAATGACAAGAATTGTAACAGAACATTGGGACTTCTGTCTGCAACTCTGTGGTTGTCTGATATTCCATTCACTGAAGAAGCACTATTTATCTGTTCAAAACTGATGTGATAAGGGAGAATTTCCTTGGTTAATGCATTAGATAGTCTTCTGATTGACAGGTCATGATCTTATAATTTTATGAAAATATATCATCAGGTTCTCTCAGGTAAGAGTGAAATCTAATTCAAGTGTAGTTTAAGAGTTATGTAGGACTAAACAAGCATATGTTTAAATTTAAGCATGCAGATAATCCCATTGAAATTTGGTCCTATATCAGCTATAATAGAACTGCTCAAATAAGTAAGCAGGCACATGTTTGAGTGTGTTGCTGGCTTCAGGGCCTTTGATAAAGAACAAACCTAGGGCATGTATCAGTTAAGGGTCAAATGAAGCAACATGTCTCAGCATGTTGATATTATATCTATGGAGGAAATACATGTTTAAAAAAAGATACTTGTTAAAACTTAAAGGGGCAATTAAGATCCTGAATCAGATTCCCATGTTAAGGGGTATTATAGGCCTTTGGTTTCTGTCCAGCTCCATAGTTTCATTCTGCCCAGTACAGAGATTGGAACTGCCTGTGTAATATGGAACAGATTCCAGCTCCATTCTCACATTCAGGTGTTTGAACCTGGGATTTTGAATTGACAAGTAAATGGAAGTCAACATACAGTATAGTTTAAAACCTATTAAGAAGCTATTCAGGGGAAAATTGTAAAAAGGCATGATGGAAAATGTATTTCTTTTAAACAGCTCTAAGATACCTGAAACAGCTACCCCTGGGACACTTCTCTTTGCCCTAAGAGATTACTGCTACGATAATGATGTTGAGCCACCAAACAATAAATTTAACTTCACAGGATTGTCTGGACTTGGAAGTAATACATTTACACTGGATCCAGTTGGCTCAGGAATAGTTGTGGTCAGTTAATTATGATTTTATTTCAGTTTGTCTCATTTAAGGAGGCAGCTTTTTATATCTAATTAAGGGCATTTCTTTAGATCACACCCTGGATTCATTATCTTTTCAAGAAAAACCATTAGTGTAATTAATGTCATAATGAAGCGAAGGCTGGTGAATGACTGATTTGACAGAAAGTGCACCACAAAATCCTCTGTGGGAATTTTCTCTGTGTATTATAGAGATTATGAAGCAAAATTGCTTTTTATTTAAAAAAAAATCAGAAAGTAGTTTGTTTCCCCCTTTTTTTAACCAAACCCACACATTTGTTTGAAATGTCTTTCCTAAGGTGTGTAAGACACACAAGAGTGAGCTTCACAACACTAAATTAACATTCATTTTTTAACAATTATATGGGAGTATAGGTAAATCTCAGTGACTTAAATACTGTAGGCTGATCTCAAGACTTACTTTTGTATTTGTGACATGCCACGTAAGGTCCTGGCAATTCAGAAGAAAGACCATATTCATAACATAAGCCCCAAATTCATTACCACCTCTTTACTCCACTGATAAGAATTAACGCACTACTCAAAATAGTAAATTTATATAAATGCTGTCAGGCCTATGACCAAGATGTAAGCAATTTCCAGGTTAGGTCAGGATCCAGCAAGGCAGTTGGGGACGGGGAGGGATGAACCGGCAGGGGCCAGAACAAGAAGAGAGCTAGGAATTCAGGAAATAGGATAGGGAATAGGAAACCAGAAACAATGATTAGGGCCTGGGATATGAGGCCCAGAGTCAGGGGTTTACCAGAAACCAACTATCTGTCTGACTGCTAGGTGTCAAACCAAGGGTTGAGACAAGATTGTGGTGAGAGCAGCAGTTCATCAAGGCCAGGAGGTCTGAGACAGGAACAAGACTGAAGGAGTCCAAGGCAGGAACACCTGAAAACAGTGCTGCTGGGTCAAGGCCCTAGAGGAAGTGGGAGGGTTTTAAAGCCCTCCTGTCAAGGACTCATAGCTCCCATTGTGTCCCCCAGGTCACCTGGTCCCCCACTGGAAACCTCACGGGAGGGCCCAGGCTGGGCTGAGGCTGATATTTATCTAGGTGCTGGGTGGCACTGCTGCCCAGGCTTCCCTCTGCCAGTATGGAAGACCCAGAGTTGAATCCCATGGGTCCTGACGAATGCACACTATAATTCACACCTGTGCTTTTTGTGTGAAAGAAGAATGGGTTCCTTGTGCCATTATCAATTTCAACATTTGCAGCTACAAGATCCACATCCACTTGCTTCATGTGTGTAATAGTGGTTATTTCATTGATAAAAAGCTATGAAGACTACACTAACTGGCAAGCACAAGGCACAGAAAAATGATAGTTTACATGGTGTGATTGGCATTATACTGTTATAAAAAAGTAGCTGATGAATCACACAGACCCTAAACTAGGCTAGCTTTTCCTATATTGGTGTAGTAGGGTTGGAGTGTTGTAGTATCTGTGATGGTCCAGGAAATGTCCAAAAGTCAGGGATTTTTTGCGATACCTTTTTACTGGACCAACAGTATAATTGGGCCAACACTGGACAAAATTTTGCTCATCAAATGCCCTTCTTCAGGCTTCTAAGAAGAGACCTGAAGAAGAGATCTCTAAGACCATGTCGTTCATCTAATAAAAGATACCCCCCTCCCCCACAAAACCCCCCCCAAACAAAACAAAAAACACATCTTTGCCTCTCACATAATTCCTGGACCACCATGGCTACAATATCACTCTAACACTACCAGAATGTATAATAGGGTAGTCAATTTGCTACAGCAAAATAACAAAAAAGATGTTTTTTGCTGTTGGGATTGTTAAACATGAGGATTTGTTATAAACAAGCTGTGTTATAATGAGACTATAAGTGCATACGCTACTCTGAAGGACAGTGGTACATAACAAATTAGTAAGCTCTTAAAAAAATTCATTTCCAAAGTGTGTACTATGGCTTTACAGAATGAAGTGTAAACATAGTTCTGTTTCTTTTTAATCTAGTCAGCTAGAGATCTGAATTTTGAAAACCCAGCTAATCAAGCAATGAAGGATGAATATTCTTTGACAGTTGTGGTGCAAGATATTGCATGGCCTAATTATGCGAGCAAGTATCCATTTTATTCTTTTGTTTAAACTTTTCCTGTGCTGTAATTACATGGGAAAAGATGTATGTGAATTTTGACTAAGTTCCAGAAAAAAATTCACAGCCACACTTAACCAGCACTTAATCTTCCATTATGTTTCCAGATAATATCTACATTTACATTAAAATACTTCCAGTGAATGAGTTTCTTCCAGTTTTTGACAGTTCATCATATGTATTTAATGTTCCAGAAATTACTCCAGGTACAGTAAGTAAAGGCTATGCTACAAAAAGAATGTTTCATGGTACATTTTTGTCCATTTTTATTTTTGTAATTTATTTGCATTGGGGTAGTATCTCAAAGACTGAGGCTGCACTGCACAGGCACCTAGTAACAAGTTAGCCTTCAAACAAACAAAACATACAAAGGGTGGGAGAAAGAAAGTATTGTTATTCCTAGTCTGCATATGGGGGATTGAGATATGGTGAGATTACACAATTCCCCCAAGCAATTTAAGAAATTTGTGAAAGTGCCAAAAATTCTGCTCAGATCTCCTGGGTGACAGCCTCATTCCTACTCTGCAGAATTTACACCAGGTAAGGAGGGCTAGAGCAGCATAAATGGGTCCCCAAAGCCTTGGTTCAGCTGACAGCAAATGTCTTGGCACAAGCATTGTAAATGATGGCCATAAAGCTGCCTTCTAAGACCCCTCACTGGCACAGTGAATGTGATCAGCAGTGGGACAGGAGTGTATGGCAGAGATCCCAGGTAGTGCTGCTGCTTGGAGAATGGCTCATGCAGGCTGCTGCATCTCTGCTTTGGCAGCCTTTGCAACCCTTTGAGGATTCATTACCAAGAGGATACAAAAGTGGTTTATATTTGTCTTCGCTTCTCTGCCTATGGTCTGTGAGCACTGAATCTTCCTCTTGAGTTCCAAACTACTGTTCTGGGGCACAAAACCTCCCATTCCCTCAGCTTATACCAAGAACCCAAGTTAGTCTAGTACAATGTTGGGGGAAAGATGTTTGATGGGATAGAACTGCTTTAACTCTAGCAAAAAATGTACCTTTTTGCAAGAACTTCAGATGTGAAGTTTCCCTCCCCCCAAAATATTTCCAGAATATAGAACATTTCTGGCTGTCTTTCTTCCTCTTCCCTGTTTGTTAAATCTAAACACACTCCTTCATCTAACACTGCTTACATCATCTGAACTAGGAACTCATTTAGGAGAACCTGATCTTCCTTATATTTTACTTTGTATTCAATGTGTTAAAAGCACTAAAATAACATAAATTCTTTTCTTTTCAGCTACATCTAAAATTGGAAAAGTGAGTGCCACAGACAAAGATTTGCCATTCGCTGGAATTACATATTCTATTGTAGGTGGGGGTGGCACTTTTGGTTACACAAATATATTCTGGATTGACCCAGAGAAAGGAGATATGAAAATTATAGCTACATTGGACTATGAAACAACTCAGAGGTACATTCTCACAGTGCAAGCCTCTGACAGTGAGAAGACTGCTACAGTTTCTGTGAGTAAATCTGCCCCACTTCTGTGCACCTGACTGTCTTTATCTACTATTTTCTTCCTTGTCGCTGGCAAGAATAGTGAGTTATTAAGTGAAACACATTGGTCAGCAGGAGACAAAATTCACCCCTGTAGATTACATCCCATTTAAGTGATACAGAGACCTTGAAGCTTGTCCCTTCACAGAGCTTGGTTTCAGGAAAGATGAAGGGTTCCTTCACTTTCCGACAGATGCCATGATTTATTAAAAATGATTTAAGGCCTTATTCTATACTTTGTTGGGCTTTTAAAATACTATTTTATCAGCCTGTTAGTCTTCCCTGCTTGACATTTTGTGGTGCAGTAAGCATAGGTGCGACTTTTATTTTTGCCAGGGTTGGGGTGGGGGCCTAAGATGATGTCATTATCCCCCTCCCCCCGGGGGCACAGCTGGAGCAGAGCTGAGTGGAGCCCATGGGGCATGGGGGCAGATGAGGGCTGCTCTCTGACAGCTTGGGGCTCCCCATCCTGCTGCCCCTTCCCCCCACCCAGAGGAGGCCCGTGCTGGCTACACTACCCTGGCAAGGTGCCTCCTGCCCATCTGGCAGCAACGGGGGCACAAGTCCACGCTGCCACCCCTGCTGCTGCTGAGCAGGCAGGGGGTGTATTGCCTTGGGGGTGTGGCTGGCATTGGTCTCCTGGGAGAGGGCAGCAGGTGGGAGCCCTGAGCCTGCAGAGAGCAGCCCACATCTGCCCCATGCACGGAATGGGGGGGCATGTGCCCCCCAGATTTCTTTTCCCTGGGAGTGCATGCTGTGGCAGGAAGCTGCCCCCCCCTCCACCTGCTAGATAAACCACCCAGGCTCTGTCCTGCGCCAGCCCCCATGCACCATCCTGGCTGGGCAGCACCCTTAGGCCCAGCCCCTGCCCCACTCCCTCCCTCACTGTAGGGGCCTTTATTTGCTCCCCCCCTCAGACTTGCCTGCAGGCAGCTGGGGGAGCTGCTCTTCTCTGCTGCCTGGGGCTGTATTCCTGTGCATGTACACACGTGTCCCCTGTGTCCCACTCCCTACATCCCCCTGTGGGCTGGAACTGTGTCAGCCTGCATGGGGAAACCCACCATTTCCCACATTTTTCTACCATGAGTGGAAAACCCGGATGCCTGCACGATACTAGGAATCAAGGACAAATGCTGTCCTGGAATCATGCAGCCCAGGACCAGGACTTGATGTGTTCATTTTGGGACTGTCCTGCTCAATTAAGGACAGGTTTTCACCCTACCATCTTCCCAAGAGGGGCCAGGGCCCTTGGGCCTCTGCGTACTCAGCGCCCATGGTAGTAAGTTATCTTTCTGTGCTCCCCGCAGCTTGAGATTCTCCTTTTGTATCCACAAAGCACTAAACTTACTGTGTGCAAACTGTGCCCTGTATTGGTTGGAGTATCTCTGCTCTGCTACTGCCTCACATTAGATTTCACTAGTGTATTTTGGGGCTAAGTCAGTCAGTCAGCATGTGCATAATTGCTGAGCCATGCAATAGCATCCTCAGTGGCCACGTGCAGTTCCTGTAGTCCACCGCTGAACTTAGTCAATGGACAGTCATCGATGATATGCAACATGGCGTGTGCTTTGCCATTGCTAGTCTGGGTTGTCTCGAAGACCCCAACTGTGGAGGTTGGCCATGCACAGAAGCAGGTGCTCTCCATTCCAGTCAAGCATGTTGTGTGAAGGAAGCTGAGGGGAGGGTTTGCCTCTCTGCCTCTCATCTCCACACTGGGGAGGACTGACCTACAGAGCAGGGTTTCCTCTTCGCACAGATCAGGGCTTGAATTACTATTAAATGTGTTGGAATGGAGGACTAAAGGACAGTAGTGTCGGGGCTCAGCTGGGTGCCTGGGGCACAGGGGCAGCAGCGACTTCTCGCCCACCAAGTTGGTACCTGAGGCAATTATCTTATTTGTCCTATCCTAGTTACATCACTGCTAGAAGGGGTCTCCTGGGTCACTGAGTCCCATCCCGTGTGTTCAGTACCACCCATGTGTACAAAGGGGTTCACAGAAATGGCCCCTTTCACACATCCCAGCCTTTAGGGGGAAAAACCCTATAATGTGCCATAGATAAAGAGCAGGAGAAACAAGTGCCACCACCAACAGCAGATCTAGGATTTTGGAAAGGGGAATGGTTTGGCCTCCCAGGCTAGCAGGATTGACAGGCTGTCCACCTGGCTTGGGAAGAGGGGCCAGGTAGCCCAGCTCTGGCAGGGCTGGGCCCTCAGCTGCTGTAGGTGGCAGGAAGCAAAGAGTGCCGTATTTTCGTGCATATAGCCCACCCATGGGTATAAGCCGCACCCACGTATAACCCGTGGAAAATGGTATTTTTGTAAATTAGTCCGTGTATACGCCACAGCCGAGTATTCCCCACAGTCGCATATACATGGGGAGGTGGCACAGTCTGGCCCGCCCTGGCCCCGGCCCCCGCGGCAGCGGTGGCACGGCCCAACCTTCCTAGGCCCAGCGGGGAGGTGGTGCAGCCCGCCCCAGCCCCCGCTGCAGCAGTGACACAGCCTCGCCTTCCCAGGCCCAGCGGGGAGGCGGCACAGCCCGCCCTGGCCCCCGTGGCAGCAGCAGCAGCGCAGCCCAGACCACCCCGGCCCCCATGGCTGTGGCGGCTCAGACCGGGACTGGGCCCAGTGGGGAAAAAAAGGTGCGTTGATAGCCCACACCCTCATATAGCCCACACCCATCCATTTTTTTTTGTAAAATCACTTATACCCCATGGAATATATGCACAAAAATATGGTAATTGAAGGGGGATATAACCACCCTCCCCGCAGCCTGGATGTGTCCCTAGCCACTAATAACTCATCACTGTAATTATAGGGAGTTCTTTTCCTAGGAAGAGAACCAGACTCTGCACTTCAGAGGAAGGCAACTCCCTCACCCCTTTCCCACAGACCTTGCCAATCTGACAGAAAGAAAAATTATTTCCCAACAGGAAATCTAGGGATTGTTTGGCTTCAAGTAAGTGAGCAAGACTCACCAGCCAGACATTCAAGAGGTTTCTAAGAACTGTTACAAGCCCAGCTGCCCACCTCTAGTCATGGTCACTGTATTGTGCTTCAGAGGGAGTGAAAAAAATATCACAGGAGCCAAATAATGTGTTCAGGGAGGGAGAGTGGGAGAATTTCCTGATGCTCTACAGAAAGACGGCAGTATGGGATTACAGGACAGCACCCACATATGAAAGCCATCCACACAGAAATTTGAGTCTCTCTTCATCGCTTGAAGGGAACACCTGATGCTCAAAACCCCATGTCACAGGCTCTAATTACTACTTTATCCTATGACATTATTCCTTTCAGCAATTTATTAAGCTTCATCTTGAATAATTCAGGCTCTTTGCCTCCATTACTTTTTTGGAAGACCATTCCAAAACTTCACTCTTCTAATGGTTAGAGATCTTTTAATTTGCAGGATAAATTTGTTTGTGACCAGTTTGTAACCAATTAATCTTGAACTTACTTTGCCCTTAAGTTAAATCCTAGGGGTGTGTGAAGCGGGCACTATTCAATTCAGATTTGTATTCGTTAATTCAGATCACTCCCTGATTCGAGTCAGCTGAATCTGAAGATTCGATGCTGATTCAGAGAATCAGCGATTCGGACACAGACACAACTTTAAATATTTTTTCTATGTACCTCCAGGTACCAGGTACGGCTTGTGACTGCTGTGATGCTGAGGCGCATGGAGTGTCCCACAAGAGTGCAGGGGGGCGCGTCATGTGCTCAGCGGCAAACCCAGAAGTGGACCGAAAGTACTTCTGGTCCACTTCTGGGTCCACTGGGGGGGTATGCCTGGGGGCCATCCCGCACCCTCCTGGCTCAGCGATTGGCTGTGGGAGGACCCTTGGTCACCACCCGCAGACCCAGGACGCACCAGTCGCTGAGCCGGGGGAGCACAGAGGGGCCCCCCAGCGTGCTCCCTCGCAGACCCAGAAGTGGACTGGAAGTACTTCTGGTCCACTTCTGGGTCTGCTGCCGAGTGTGCTGGGGATCCCCCTGCACTTCTGTGGGATGCTCCATGCACCCCAGCATCGCAGCACTCAGCACACCTAGAGGTGTGCAGAAAAAACATTTAAAGCTGTCTCAATGTCTGAATCTCTTCAGAATCTCTCCGATTTGATTAGGAGAGATTAAAGGGTCCTCTGATTGAACTTGGATTCAGAGATTTGGCTGCATCTCTACTGAATCGAATTGGGGACGGAAGCTTCGCACAGCTCTATTAAATATCTCTTCTTCCTCCCTAATATTCACCCTATGATTGTATTTATAAAATGTTATCATAATTCTCTCTCAACCTTCATTTTGGTAAGCTAAACAAGCAAAACTTCTCTGATCGATCCTCCTAAGATAGGTTCTCTGTTCTCCTAATCATCATAATAGCTGGTCTGTGCACCTGTTCCCATTTAATTTTTTTCTAACATAGGAGAACAGGACTATATAGAATATTTTAAATGAGATCTTACCAATGCCTTGTACAGTGGCACTAAGGCTTCCTTGTTGTTTCTAAAGATCCATCACTTAATATACCATGGAATTATATAAGCCTTTTTTGGACACCACTTATAGTTATCTTCTGAATGACCAGCACATCCAGGTACCCCGCTTCTTCCATCACCTCCGATCTATGAGCCCCCACTGTGGGGAATGAATACTTCACAGTAGTCCTTGTGAAGTGCTTTGAAGCCCTTGTGTGACAGGTTATATGTATTAAGAGCAAAGTAGTACTATTATATTCCATTCTGACTATGCCATAATTTAAACATTTAAAAAACTCAGACACACCAGATACAAGAAACTGTAGTTTTAGCACATAATTCACCTTAAGAAACCTTTCCTTTGTTTCCAATATTTTCAAAGGACCATGAGTAAAAAAAAATTAGATGAAGGCCAACAATTTCAAGGTAGAAACTAGATGGGCTAGATCCATTAGTCTTCTTCAACTACTGTCAGCTCAAATGTGTGTAAAAGAACAAATCCCAACAGTTAGTAGGATTGGTAGTATTCTGTTACACCACCATGGAAGAATTCCAGTTCAGCAGCTGTTCTTTTCTTTCAGGTAACTGTCAATGTTCTTGAAGTGAATGATGAAAAACCAGTTTGTACACCCAATTCCTATTCACTTGCAGTTCCAGTAGACCTAGCTGTTGGAACCAATATTGAAGGTTTCAGTATATTGTGTCATGATCCTGATTCTAGTCCCAGATCTTTCCGTTATTTTATCAACTCAGGTACTGTACTTGTTTGATACTTGAATTTCATTATCATGTGCATTGGGAAAATTCTTAGGCATTGACATTCCCTTTTGATTTGATATGGGGAAAAAAAAGCAATATTTAACATTCTAACCTTTACAGTGGTTGTAGTTCAATTCTGTAGTGCCGAACACTTCAGAAATCATTAAAACATAGCTGGATATCCTGCTTCCATTTAAATTAATGGTAAAATTCACACTGGTTTCAGTTAAGCCAACCAGATTGCTACACCTGTCATTCATAGAGGCCAGGTCAAATTCTGCTTTCAGTGTTAGGCTAGAACAGTGGTGCTAAATATTTTAAAACACAAGGCAGCCCTTGGAAAATGCCATCTCTTAGCACTCACTTGTTTGTTGACTACAGAAAAATAATAGAGCTAGCTGCCTTCACCACCCCCTGCTGTGCAGGTCTTGGGACTCTGCGGGGAAGTGGGGGCCAGGGCTCTCCTCCATTTCTGGTGGAGTCCCGGGACCTGCAGTCAGGGAGCGGCAAAGGTAACCAGCTCCATCATATGGGACTTACTCTGGTGGCACGGAGCTGCACATGCACTGCAGAGAGCCCTGCGCGATTGAGGTGGGCAGGCCAGACCGCACTCCTTACCATGTGCAGCACTGGCCAGAGCTGCTTGCCACCAGGCAGCAGCACCTGCACTGGGCACTAGTGCCAGCCTGCTGCTGCTGCTGGTGAGGGCTGTGCACCATAAGAGGCATATGTGGGGGGGGTCTCCACAACCCCCCCCACTCTCCCTCACACCCTACCCACCTGAGCTCTGGTGGGCCAGATTTGCCTGGCGGGCAAATTTGCCTGGTGGCGGCAGATTGGTGGCAAATTTGTCTGGTGGGCCAGATGTGGCCTGGGGGCTGTATTTTGCCCCCCTCTGCTTTAAAATACACATAGGGGCTCAGAGCAATCCAGACTCTGAAAGGTATAAAGGTGGCTTAAAGACCTCTCCCCTGAGCTAGGAGCCCTGTGCTGTTGTTGTTAGAAGTGGTCCTCAGGAGCTCACCTAGAGTTGCAAACGCCAACTCATTTTGTTGCTGTGAGAGTCTCTTGCAATGGCCCCTAGCATTCCAGCTGAAAATCATCTGCCTCAGATGTGTGCTCAGTAGGGGCATTTGTTCCTCATTTATAGTTCTGTAGCTACAGTACATTTTATCCATGATAGTCCACACAATCAGCTTCTAGTAATTGGAGCCATGCCATAAAATGCTCCAGTGCTAAACTTACTAGAGCGTTCCATCCCTAACGGCAGTTTTTGAATGCAGTACTATAAAGCAAAATCATTGTGTAATTAATTAGTAACAAACTGCCAATGGAAATGACAAACACCCAGAAACAAGTGAATCAGTGGTTCTCTTTACCATATTTTGAATATGTGTCTTTACACAAGTATTTTTTCTTTTACTTCTAGGCAACATTAATAACCATTTCACTTTTTCACCAAGTGCTGGCTCCAACAGCTCTCGGTTGATTCTTGTATCCAGGTTTGACTATGAAAATGGTTTGGATACAACCTGGGCCTACAGCTTGCGCATCTACGTAACAGATGACAATTTGCTGTCCGGTAGTGACAGGGCAACAGTCCATGTTGAAACTGGAACAGTGACATTAAGCATCAAAGTTATCCCAAACCCAGCTACTCTCCTTCCTGCTACAGTAAGTGTACTGAGCTCCTCAATCTTCTACTGAAAGACTATTTGGAATTAAAAAATAAATAAATAACATTAAATCAGCTGAGGATATATGCACATAAAAGGGCACAAGAATTACTGAGGGTCTGGTCTTGGGCAAAGATAAATACTAACTTCAGTTGGAAACTGTGGGTAGTCAGTGTCTTATAGGCTTGGGTTCCAGGTGCAGTTGCATAATATTTATATTTTATTTTCAATTTTTTCAGCACAAAGGCATTCACTCATAAGGTCTGGGCACCTTGCCATTAAGGTCACCCCAATGCAAAAAATCACCCAGAGCAGCCTGACCCTTTGACAAAAATCAATCCATAAATCCAACAAAAAACCAATACCCTATCTGCATTCAACTCCACAGTCCATTTCCTCCCCACACCCACTCAAGCTTGAGCTACACAGCCTGTGATGTGGAGATCATCACAGTCTCATATGCAGAACATATGATGGAAAAGTTAAAGGCTTGGCAGCTGCATTAATAAGGAGAGAATAGGAATTCAACTTTGCATGAGACATTAATACCAATTTGTGCCTTTGGCAGAAACTGGTTTTTAATTCTCAGATACCTATTTCTTTGTCTGATTTGCACATCCTAGTGACAGGGCACCAACTCATGTGTTTGGAGATTAAAAACCTACTATCCACCAACCAGGAAAGAGTTCTCTGTCACTTGGGTCACCCAAATATTGTACCCAATGACTGGGTGTGCAGGAACTGAAGCTGTTCTAAACACCTCCAACAACCCTTAACCTGCCCTTCACTCAATGCCGGATTACTTTTTAAACACACAAAGGTGTAAGTACCAGGAATGTTAAGCACTGGATGGAACTTTGCTCATTGCAGTGTATTTGCATGGTCCACAGCTCAGCCACACTAAGAAATGTGATTTGTAGTCATGGTTTCTTCTGTACTCTAACCTTACTCCAAGACAGAGAGGACACTTATGCCACTGTTTGACTGGATGCTTCCCTCCTGCTATGCCACACCACCTTTCTTGGAGAGAGATGGGCGCCCCATGGTCTTCCCACTTTTTGCCCACCTTCTTAGTGGTATCAACACTTTATCTTCCTCATGTATCAGAATAGAGAGGTGGGGATATTGCAGATGGGGACAAAGGACAAAATATTTAGCCTTTAGTAAACCCATAAGTAAGGCAAACAGAAAGGCCCAAACCAGAACCCTGGAATGCCACACACACCACATCTGAAATTCTGAGAGCTTTGTTACATGGGCCAGAAATGCCTGGGTCCAAACTTCCCAACTGACTTCCATCTCCGTAAGCACACAAAGCACCCAGAAGTGAAAGGGTTATACAACCCCAGATGCACGCACACATGATCTGACACAAAACTACTGAAATGAGAAGTTAAGCTGCCTAACAGTATTTACTCTGTGCTCCTTCTCTACACACTGCCACGCTGACCATACAGGCCAGACTACATGCCACAACCTTCACTCTTGCCTCCTCAGGGATACCAGCCTACAAGCACCAGACCACCCCTCCAAGTCCCCTTTCACACACCACTTGCTCACTACCCTCTTCCAACACTCTTAGTCATAAATGCCTGGCATAGGAACTGGGTGAAGTACATGCTGGAAGGCTGGTGTCCAGGCACCCTTCAGAAAATGCCAGCTCTTAGTTTTCACTCATTTTTTGACTAAGGACAAAGAGTGATTCTTCTATTACAAAGAACACAGGAAGAGCACAATAGATCAGAATGTTTCTGACACTATGGATTCTTATTTGGGGTTTATCTTGACTCATACTTGCACACCTAACAGCACTAACATTGTGTGTTACCTGTGGTATCCTTGAAAGGATCTCATGGCATACCAGAGTGCTGCAGAACCTGGGTTAAGAATCACTGTTTTAAGACATCAAGCAGAGCTGGATAGCTATTAATCCTGGCAAATTATTGTACAGAGACCAATTAAAAATTATCATGCAAAATTAAATAAAATCGGAAATCTAAAGACCATAAAAACTAACACCGTGTGAAATTTCACTACCTGTAGAGAAAAGAACACAGATTTTTCCCCCACATTTAGCCGATTAAAAAATGCAAGCCTAACTAAAGAGCCGTTAACTCTTTAACAGTTGGCCAAATCAAAACTCACTCTGAATGCACATTAATTTTTGGGGAACTCAGAAACAGCTGTTAAATGATATGATTCAAGCTCATTTCTAGAGTAAAAATTTGAGAATTTCAGGTTTTACTTATTTTTATGCAATGACTTATTTTTATGACTGAATTCTTCTACATCCAACACCTTTAATAAAGGCAATTTCTTTTTTTACACTGACATTGAACTGCATGCAAGGGTAGTACTTTAAAACTTCCATATTTTGCTCTAGATTAGTAGTAGTGGTATCCAATATTTTTCCCTCTATTAAGATGCTGAGGTAGTATCTTCCATTTGTGTAAGGCAATCTAAATATTTTTAACAAAAGTATTGATATAACATCACTTTGTCACAATCAGAAATGTGTTTTTATACTACATGTCAGTGAAATGCCAAGTATGCAATATTTAAGAACCTTTTATATGTGTATCTATTTCTTATTTTAAAAGCCTGGTTTTACACTTCTGATCAGAAGAGAAAACACTTTTTCTGCATCAGCCTGGTATGTGCCCTTTGTCATTTGCCTTGGAAGCATGCTACTCCTTGGCGTTCTTGGGTACTTAACCTTTCTTCTGGCGAAGTATATCCGTACCAACTGCCCACCAAAACCCAAGGCAGATAAACACATGCTGTAAGTAATCCAATGATATTCTGCTAATACAATCATAAGACTCCTTGAGAAATGGAGTCAATTTTTTAAACTATTAAATACCTGTTACTGAAAAAGACAACATGGAGCTCAGAAAAGGCAATGGAATTTCTGCCTTTGACTATTTTACAGCAATATGGCATTTGCAGGAATAACTGCTGATGCCACCTGTAATAGCATTTTGATTCTTTAAAGAGATAAAAGTCAAAAGAAAATGAAATAGAAATTTTTCCTGGAGTCACATACAGTTTCATGCAGCAGCCATCAGTCTTTATAAGCCATGGGCCAAAACAAACCTAATTTCTGTTCAACATAAATCTGGGGTGTCAAATATACAGCCTGTGGGCTGGATCTGGCCCCTGGAGCCACTCTGGCTTGTTGAGCTACTGGAAGTTGGAGCATGGTGTGCTGAAGAATTTGAGGGCCCCAGGCCATGATGGACATGGCCATCAGTGGCAGGAGGGCAAGAAAGGGGTGAAACAGTCCTTACCCTGTAGCTGCTTGACCTGAGCGCTTGCCCAAACTCCTCCACTGCTGTCACCTTGTACTGGAGCAGCTGCCACATTTCTTGTGCCAGAGTCCCAGCTGCTGCCACTGTCACCACTTGCCTCGGGTTGGGACCACCACATACCCCAGTCTGCATCTAGCCAGCAAGGAGCCCTGTGATCTGGATTTGACCTGAGGCATGAGATGAATTTCACACACCTGACTTAAATGATAGGAGGGCCCAAAAGCACCAGTCAAGATTGAGGATCTCAAAGGACCTCATTAATATTGACACTGATCCTCAATTCCTGGCTCAGAAAAAAATGTGATAGATTCTAATGGCAGCTTTGTACAGGATGCAGACCGTTAAATTAATGCAAAGCTTCGTAAGAGTGGCACAGGGCTGGTCCATGAGTTGAAACAGGCCCACAGACCTCCCCCCACCACTTTCCCCCTTCCCCCCCCCAGCACTCCCTTCCCTATCCCTTTGCTGGATCCAGCACATGCTTAGCTGCTGTGTGGGGCACAGATCCCGGACTGGCCAGGGTGGGTGCTGCATGCAGCATGGGTTCCTGAGCAGGCACCGTGCATTGTGCAGTCCCAGAACAGCTGGCATGGGTGCCACATGTAGTGTGGATCCTGGACTGGCTAGAGTTGGCATTGTGTGCAGCACACATCCCAGGTCCTGTACACGAGGCTGGTCCACTGGTGTGTGGGTCAGCTCAGACTCAGGGGCAGCACTAGGGACTGATGACAGAGCTCCACAAGTCAGATCTTTGATATCTCTGGTTTAGAATGCCTGTCAGGCTCATTAGTTTATACAGACTGATATTTTATTTAGCATATGCATATGTTGAATTAAGAGTAGCTCTGCTTTGTGCTTAAAATTAAGTACTTGCATTATTGTTTTCAGGACCTGGGCTTAAATTTGTAAAGTATACCGAGATCATTTAGAATGAGAGACAATAACTATGACTATAAGCTATTATTCTACAAGTCTTTACAAGGAATTTAACAATTTGTGGTAGGAATGACAAATGACCATGTGGCATACAATCTAGAGATTATTGTTGTTATTTATTAATAGGTGCTAATAATTTAGTGGGAGTCAGGCTCTCACACTGAATAGAAATCTTGGTGTTTTGAAACTACACTTTAAACCGTCCCAGTATTTGAAAAGGTGTTATCTCAGCGCAGAAAATTCAAAACTTGACCTGCCTTAAAGGCTAGAATTGAAAGAGGGGGCTAGTTTTTTAAACATAATGACTTTTGGAGGAGTAATCAGTCCTTAAAATCAAAGACTGTAAGTGTACATAAAGGTATACATAAATAAGATTACAAAAATATGGCCACAGGGGGTGGGGGACAGGAACAATATTTAGGACTGTTTCACAGCTTCTGGAACCTTAATAGAAAATGCTGGGGCTCAGTAAAAGCAAACTTGGCAAAACTAAACTAACCAAAACACAGGGAAATATTCCCTGTATGCCACGTGTAAAATAACAGAGTTCTTGGGCCTAGAACCGCAACATGGGTTTTTTATGAACATATAAAAGATGTTGCAATAATTAACAATGTTGATAATTTCTACTTTTCATTTCAGGACAAAAACCCCAGGTATGCATCTATTTTCTTCACTTTTACCACTTCTTAAAAACAACTTCTCCTTATTCATCAGAGTGAAATTTAGCATTCCATTTTCAGACATGTAATGTCTTGGGCTCAACGTAAGAGTACCCAGATGGACTTCTGTTTTGTGTGGTATAGGACACCATATGAGATGACCTAATAATTCTTTTTAAACTTAAAAATCTATCAAGTCACTTGGAAAAAAATCAGGCCTGGCATCCCACAGTACTCTGGCATGGCTGCCTATACACGAGCAGGGAGGCTGCTCTGACATGCTGTAATTCCAGTGCATTGGAGCAGACTCGATTAATCGAGGCAATTACCATGCTCCAGCAACCTCCCATGTCTCACATACCAGCATCCCTGCACTTCAAAATGTCCGCAGGAGTGCTTTATCTAAAGCTCATGGAACGAGCTTTAGATAAAGATCCCCTGCTGCCATTTTGAAGCGTGGGGCTGCTGATACATGAGACGCCCCAGGTGCTTTAATTAGAGTGGCTCTCAGAGCCGCTCTGATTAAGCACCCCTCTCCCCTCTACTCCCAGAGCACGTGCATAAAAAAAACCATCTCAAATGTTTTGAGTCAGCCTTTTCCATATCTTTTATCTTGTTAGTTTTCTTTAGTGCGTATAGTTTGCATGGACTCATTTGGGTCCAATTTTTAGGTCCTGCCCCCACATGACCAAGAAATTGCAATTTGGAAGATCAGGATTTTCAGAACTAACTAGTTATTTGGGGAACCCAACTTGAGGAATTTTACAGTGAAGTGATTTCCAGAGGTTGGTGCTTGGCACTGTCTCAAATAATCAGGTGCCCAAAACTGAGGCTGTGAAGACCCTTAGAAGGAATCACTCAGGTTCATGCTTATCTCTAACAATAGTACATTTTAACCCATTACATGATGTACAACAAGGACCACTGATAGCTGGAGATGCTGTTTTATCAAAAAGGGGAATTAAATATGCCCCCCAGAGTGTGAATGAAAGGATGCTAAAGAAACAGATGAGATCTCATCTCCAGATCCTTGCTGTAGCACAGTTCATGGTACTGCTGCATTAAACATGCCAATGTGGCCTGAGTGAATAACGGGAAAAACGTATCTACAAATATATGCTTTGCTCTTGGATATGAATTTTGACAGGGTTTGCAGCACTTTTCCCATTTTGTCTTCCATTAACTTCAAATGCACAAGCTTGACAAGTAAAGGGTTTGGACAAAGCTGCATTTGGCGTTTGAAAATTCCTTCAGAGTACAATTCACTTTCTGACAAAAGGGCTAGCACAAGGCCATGGAGCAACTCCTGGCTCAGAATATGGCTTGAGTGGCAGTTAATTAGTGCACAGCCTGAGTGATTACTGTCTGTAGAAAGGCAAATTTCACTCTCCACAGCAAATTTAATGGTAAAACTTCACATTTAAATGACCTACAAGTGAAGAATTTTGCGCACAAAAATAAAAAAAAAAAATGGGCAAAACATTCAGAATAAGGAACACATTTGAATTTGTGAGCCCTCTACTACAGTTTATGGAAAGGGAAGCTTGTTGAGGAAATTCTTTGCTGCAAATTATTCGTTTATGTCTCTTCAAGGAGAAGCTTTGCAGGAGTGACTAGCAACTTTGTGGTTCCTAAACTGAAATATCTTACAGGGTTTTTTTTCCCAAAAAATTGCTAAGCACTTGTCCTTTGGAAATCAGACCCCTTTAAAATGTCTCTAGAGTTGGGAAGCTAGAATCAATAATCCCTTTTGAAGAACTGGGTCTTAATATTGCTGAGAATCAGATTGCTTAGAATTTGTATTTTCTTTCCTACAGAAAAAAAGAATCCCAAGAAAGAAATTGTATTGGTAAGTGCTACAGCTAACAAAAATAAAAGAAAGCTTTTTGCCCGCATCAGGCTTACAATGTGGGCATAGGACCAGAGCCGACTCTAGGGGTGTGGGGGGGAGGATGGCGAGCAGGTGGGACATGGCGGTGGGGGTGGGGAGGGGGGGAGGATGGCAAGTGGCTGGAGCGCAAAGTGGTGGTGCCCTTGCCAGGGCCTGTACAGCACTGTCTGCAGGGCCCCCCAAAGCACAGGCCCTGGGGAGGTCACCCCAATTTGCACCCCCCTCCCCTCAAGAAACGGCTCTGATGGGACCTATGGAAATTTGATATGGTCAGGAATGATCTACATGTAGCTATGTCTATACTATACTTCTGGGCTTTCCTAGTTGCTGCATGGGAGTGGGAAGGATTTCTTCCCCCACTCCCCCGCTTCTGTTGCTACATGTGTCTGGGGATTTTTTTTTTGCCTTCCTTAGAAGCATTACGAGATGGTTGCAGCCCAGCCTGGGAATTTTGACTGGGATGTACCAGTGGTCCTGCTAGGACTAAAACCAGGAGGTTCCTGGCTACAGGGTCTTGTCTGTCCACTCAGGGTCAGACTGATCACTGTATTTGGGGTCAGGAAGGAATTCTACCCCTTGGTTAGATTAGTACAAACTGTAGGAGTTTTGCCTTCTGTAGCATGGGGCATGGCCCTCTTCCTTGGATCTCTTGAGCATATTTAAACAACCCTTGCAGAAACAAGACATTGGTCACTGTTGTCCTCCCCCTTCCGCCCCCTCCTCCACTTTACCTGTGGCAGGTTAGGGTGCTATGCCTTGTGGCTGTTTGACAGGGTTGCCCATGTAGTTTTAGTGGTAGGTTAGTCAAGGATTTGCTTGGAATGATTTGGGTATGGATGATCCTGCCTACAGTGGACTTTGGGTGCAGTGGTACAGTTCCACTCCTCTTTGATTCCTGCTCTACCCAGACTTTAAAACCAATTGCCTGGGAAGAGCAGCAGTATTTCAATTCAGGCAGTGCTGAGAGAGTAAATTGACTTAATGGCTCATTGTCACCTTCCTGACTCCTTCTAGTCTCTCTTCACTCCACAGCTGTTAATGACTCTCTATCCTTGTAAATGGTCTTGATGTTCCAATATTCAAACTATCCTTTCTTCTACAACTTTGCTGTCTGTTAACCATTCCTGGTGATGTCTCTCTTTTATTTCAAAGCCCTGCAAAGTGTTTTAAGCTCTAACTAAAAACCTTTACTCAAGTGTGGTAATATTAATTTAGGTGTAGAAATGACTGATAGTGAAGTATTGGAGGCACTGCCAAAATGCTCCAAAGAGACTAGATTTTGTTTTATGAATCTGAATAAGAGATGTACATCTTACTATGATGACTCCAGAACTAATGACAGAATATCTTTTCACTATTTTGGCTACCTTTTGCCTATTTTGTTGTGCTTTTTAAATTTTATATATAATCTAGCAAATCAATACACATTCCAAGAGTTATATTTGTTTTTGCTTTGATCTTAAACCGAATAATATATTGCTAGCCCCATAGCACATTAATAAAACATCTAGGCCAGGGGCAGGCAATTATTTTGGGCAGAGGGCCGCTTACTGAGTTTTGGCAAGCCATCAAGGGCAGCTCAGGGGCCCGGTGGGCCAGATACACTGGCCTGTATCCGGCCCATGGGCCTCATTTTGCCCACCCTGATCTAGGGTGCTTACAGATGTAAAAAACCCAAAACTGTTAGTTAGTTTGACCCGGCTTGCCCAGTGTCTATGTAGATTGCGTGCTTCAGTAGGGCTTTTTGGCAATTTTATCTAAAAGCTGATTGAATCAGCTTTAGATAAAGGCACTGAAAAGCTCTGCTGAAGCACCCAGTCTATACAGACACTGGGGAGCTGGGTCAAACTAACGTGTTTCCTCTTCCAGTAAAGCGTTATTTTTTCCCCCATGTTTGTCAGCATCTCTACTTTCTCTTTAACTGGAGAAAAACATGTATTGTGTTATATGTAATGATGTGCCACACCATCTGCACCCCAACTTTCTCTAAATCCTAGATCCACCCATGAGCCTTCTCCAGGCATAGGGTTGGATTAGATGACCTCCAGAGGTCCCTTCCAGCCCTACTTCTGTATGACTCTATGGGTGGTTATATACATGCTTTGGGAGTGTGTGTGTGTGTGTGGGGGGGGGGGGGGTGTTTTAATTAGAGCAGCTCTTAGAGCTGTTCTGATTGAAGTGCCCAGAGCATCTTGTGTATCAGTGTCCCTGCACTGAAAAATGGCAGTGGGGGCTCTTCATCTAAAACTTATTGAACGAGTTTAAGTTAAAGCACCCCTGGCACCATTTTTCAACATGGGGATGCTGATACACATGACACTGGAAGCTGCTGGAGCACAGTAATTACCACGCTCCAGCAGACTTGATTAATCGAGTCTACTCCGATGTGTGTAATTACAGCACATCAGAGCAGTGTCTCTGCTTGTGTATAGGCACCCTATGATTCTATAAACTAATACAAGAGGTTTCAAGGAAGAGCTCTTAGCAAGCTTGCTGCTGGACACAGTTTTTGTGCAAATCCAATGTTTCATAAATATTGAATGGTTCTATTTTTATAATGCACACATATCATTAGAGACACTAGTAGCTAGTGAATAAATAACCCATATGTGGTCCTAATCAGTCTTAGTCAGGTGATAAGAACTTAGTCTGACCAAGTCTGTAGGGCTGTTGTTAATATAATAGGAACACTCAATTGCTGACTGAGGTTGGAGTCCCATTGTCCTCAGTACTGATATGCATATGATGAGACAACTTCTTCCCTAAAGAGCTTTTAATATAAATAGATGAGACAGTCAAAGGACTAGAAGGGAAACTAAAGCACAGAGACCAATGACTTGATCAAGGTCAAACAACAGGTCAGTGATAAAGCTGGGACTCAAACCCAGGTCTTATAACCAGGCTCTATTCAATGAGCTAGGCAAACTGTTTTATCCCAGCAGCATGCTAAGCATTTTATAGAAACTGGATGAACACTAAGTGAAAGGCAAACCTTATTTTGACTTCAGTAGGGCCAATATTTCATGCACATCCCTGCCTGAAAGAATTTACAGTCCCTAGTGACAAGAAACAAGATGGAGTATAAAGCAGTGTCACTGAATGGTGACATATAAAAGATTGGATAGTTGTATGGTTTGTCATGGGGTTTTCTATTGTCTAGTTCAGTGATTCTCAACTAGGGTACCTTCAGATCCTTTCAAGGGTGCTGCATGATGTTAGCATTATTAGGTGTGCAAAACTGATTCACAAGATAAACTCATAGATTTCATGTAGTATTCAAATCATTCTGACCTGTTGTGATCCGAGCTTTTTTGCAACAGAAGAACTGCTCTATTATTTTTGTGTAGTAAAAAAGAATGAAAACGAAGTCCTGGCATTTTCTGAGGTGTGCCTCAAGTCTAAAAACCACTGGTCTAGTTTGTTATGACTGATGTGAAAAGAGGATGGAGGGAAAAGTCATTTTAGGAAAATTGTGATTTGATGAAGGTTTGGCAGAAGAAAGGGAAAGAACTGAGATGAAGTAAAATCAGGGTTCTTACATAGGAATGCTGAAACACTCACTGCAGTGTGACTTATTAAGTCTTTCATAAATGTGGCTCAACATGTGATGTTAGAGCCTGAGAAAGCACGGACTAAACATCAGGAATAACGGACAAGATACTGTTGTTAGGACTGGTCAAACATTTTTCATCAAAATTGTTCTTTGATGGAATACAGTATTTTTGACTAAATATTCCCCCCCCCCCCCCCCCCCCCCCCCCCATCTGTTTTCAGGAAGAATTTTAACTTTTAAATTAAAAAGAACAAAAAAACACAAACACCTTGACCCCTCCAGAATTTGGGTCCCAAACTGATTTTTTTTCTGGTCATAAATGCTGTCATAATGTCTCATGGGAGCTATAATTTAACTGCAGTGTGTCCCTCGTCTCCTTTAAAAATCTAGGCTCACCTCCCATCTCTCTACACCAAGAGAATCAGTTCAGGGTCAGAAAGGAGACTATTTGAAGGCTAAGCATGAGGAGGATAACAAAGGACCCATTTTCTCTTTTAAACTAAGTGCAACTCCCTTGATTTCAGTAAAAGTTGCCCCTGACCAGCACAAATTTAATGCAGAGGAGAAGAAGGCTCTAAATCTTTTGGTTCTGGCAAGGCCCAATTAATTTAGTTGGAGAGTGATTTGTTATTCCCAAACACAGGCACCTTCTTTTTTCTCAGTGATAAAAATGGTGTGTGAAAACCCTTTCACTATATTGCTCGCATTCCCTCAGCGCTTTTGATAGGAATTCCCAAACTATTTCTGTAGTGAAGATAACCCTTCTAGTAGTTATGCATTTGGAGTCATTCAGCATGTCAGACCCAATTAATTCTTCATTTTCTTCAGTAGCCACAATGGTTTTTGTTGCCTGTTCTGCTTAAAATTAGCCTACAAGAATACAACATGTAGATCACATCAATCTGTTTCAGTCCATATAGGTCAGAATTTCCAAGTCACTGCTTCTTTTCCTTGCCTATCTAATTCATAGGCTGGATTTCATGTTTGTCTGTCTTTTGTAGGAAATGACCAAGTTAAACACCGTCTTCGATGGAGAAGCAAGAGACCCAGGTAAGAGAAAAATTAAACTGTAGTACTAGTGTCTGGCTCAAAATAAACTAGGCTAGTGAAATAAAATATGGGGAGACATTTGCTTTTCATATTTAAAAGATTGCTTTTTTCCAAGAAAAATAGGAGTTATGCTTCATAGATAATGAACACCAAGACATTTTAAATGAAAGAATACATTTAAAACTCTTGAAGACACTTAATAAATAGTTGGTTTATACATGATGGGCAAGTCCTGTTTCCTGAGCAAGCTGGAATACATTAATTGAGCGCAGGGATGCAAGGCACTGGGGTAGAAAGGACACCCTTTCTCCAGGGTGTGGGGGGAGTTGGCCTGCTCCATGCCATAGGCTCCACTATACTGTTAGGTCCGCAGCAATCCTTGCAGTTGTTGGACAACTATCACACAGGCTGGAAAATGGCTTATAAATTAATATTACAACAGAGCACTTCAACTTCAAAACCTCGCTTTGAAAGCACAATGGGTGCTTCCTCCTGCACAGTTGTCCTGTAGTCTGCCTTCCCCTCTTGCTTCAAAAATTCACAGATACCATTGCACCCAAGGCCCTAAGAATCCTGGCAGAAAATAGGCAGAATATTCTTCTGAATACTTACTAGGGCTGTGCAAAGCTTTGGTCACTGATTCGATTTGGAGGAGATTTGGCCCAATTCAGCTGGCGAATCTCTGAATCCAAATCGAATCAGGAAACCCATTAATCTCTCCGAATCAAAATTGGAAGGCTCCAATTTGACTCGGAGAGTTTCGATGATTCGGCCATAAACACAATTTTATATGTTTTTTCTACATACCTGAAGGTACCAGGCATGGCTTGTAAATGCGGAGATGGATGGAGTGTCCCATGGGAATGTGGGGGGGGGGGGGGGAGGGAGGGGTCCCCCGTGTGCTCGGCAGTGGACCTGGAAGTGGACCAGAAGTACTTCCATTGCACTTCGCTGACCGCATGGGGAGCTCCCCCCACGCTCCTGTGGGATGCTTCATCTGCCCCACCATCTCAACGTTCATGAGCTGCGCCTGGTACCTTGAGGTACATAGAAAAAACATATAAAGCCATGTCTATGGCCAAATCACTGATTCTCCAAATCAGAATCGAATTGAGCCAGAGATCCGAATCAGCGAATCGAATCACTGTCCCCCGAATTGGCCTGAATTTGAATCGAATACGGCCCTCTTCGCACACCCCTACACTGTTGTGTCAGCTACTGACTGTGTAACACTGGGAAGCAGGCACCTAGTAGGCAGGCTGCTTCTCCAAAACACATAGGTCAAGCAGGAAGAGGGGCACAATTACAAGCCACAGAATGAACCAAGATTTGTAGTGCTTGGTTCTTTGCCAAAAAGAGTGGCTATGATGGCATTTATGACTTAATGTTCAGAAAGCCTGGAAGTACTTGCATTCAAATGCAAAAAACTCTAGAGGCAACAGCATAGAAAGGTTTGTTAGCAGAAAGGATGGAAGGGCATCTGCAGAGGGTGACAGTCACAAAACATGAGTCTGAAATGTATCCTAAAGAAGGAAGATGGACACTAGCTGTGTAATTAGCTTATTCACAAGACTTCTTAAGAAATGTAGGCCAATTTTGTTATTTTTTTCAAAACCTCCTGCTACTCGTAAAGACAGCTTGCAGCCTTGAGATACAAGATCTGCATCCTCAGTGTAGTTGTCTTTAAAAATCTTACCAGTGGAAATTTCTGGGGGCACTATTGGAGTACTGCTATATGATGTTTGGCTGGACACTGTATACACTTTTTCCTTCAGCTCTCCTGCCAGTACCAAATCTTAGGAACAGAAAGATGCTTGGGTTGAGGAGCAGACTATAGCCATGGAGCTCAGTAACCTGAAACCCAATCCAAATCATGCCATGATGTGTCATTTGTCATGCATGACAGATGTTAAGCTGCAACACAGCACTATCTGCAGAGAAGCGTGGTGTGCCCTAGCTGATTAGTCCCCAAAGTTTTGGAGGATCAAGAGGGTTGGGTGTATGGAGCAGAACTGGCCAAGAGATGTGGGGAATCACCTTCCAAGCCAGGGGACAGTTGGCTACACTCTGCTATTTAGCATAAAGTAGATCTCCCTGAAGATGTGCTCCTTGAGCTGACATCAACACATGGTGACAGTATCATATTATGTCTACAAGAACTGCATTCATGCAAGTTCAGTTCAGCAGACAAGAAGCTGGTACAGGCATCCTCCAAACTCCATTCAAGCACTATTTAAACCTTGCACAAGAGGGTATATAAGGATCCAAATTCAGAAGTTAGTGCCCTTTGCAGTAACCTTTTGTGCTGGTGGGTACATTTGGGGCTATTAGACATTCCTTTATCTTTACACTCTAAAGTACCTCATCTGTAAGCAGCCATAAAAATAATGTGAGAAGAGGTTCAATTTTATCCTTAATTGCCCAAATTACATTAATGTGTCAGAATCCATTAATTCTGATATAAACTTTAGTATATAACCTTCATTTTCTCTACCTCCATTCCTTAAAAGTCCTTTTTGTCTCACAGTATCCAGTAAAAATAATGGTTAATTATAGGAGGTGCCCCTATGTCTCCTGGTTCCTGTTCACTTACCAAGTAAGGAGAATTTAGACCTTGAGGTAATCACACTGGAAACAAAGCAAATTCCTATTTATCTGTGGGTAGTAAATGAGCTGAAGTAGCAGATAACCTATTTCCAATGTGTAAGTTAAACATTTCTATTACACAGTCTTAGAGGGTACAAGTACTTTCTAACAAAGTAATCCAGGATTGGGTGCTAATGGACCAAGAATGTGAGAGTACAATATACATGACTATGGCTGTATATACATGGCAAACTTACCAAGGCTGGGAATCGCACCCGCAGGCATGCTGCACTCCTCCAGCTGGGCTGCCTGCAAATGGGAAGTAGTGTACTTGGTGTTGCAGGCAGGATGAGTGGCACTGTCACTCAGCATTGCAAATTAGCGCCTCTGACATGCTGTACGTATGCAGCCACCATGCTTCCAGTTTAGAAGGTAGGCTTCAAGAAGCCACACAGTGTGCGTGAGTACGCTGTTGTTGGGAACGTTACCATAATTTACTGTACAGACACAGCCTATATTCACTTCATACATAAACAGAGCACATTATTTGGTTGGGTTAATAACCTGCCTTTCATTAGAACACAGAGAGCATCTTAGCAGAAAAGCACTTAGGTCAAATTTCAAATCGACAAATATAGATGAGATCCTTGGGGATACCAGTTCTCTGAGCAGCTACCATGATTCCAAAGGTACTGAGCTATGTCTACACTTCCACACCAGGTGATGATTCAAATAGGCTTCACTACCTTAAACTGGCCAAGTTGATTTGAAAATCTAAAGTGTATGCAGAATTTTTTCTAGTCTAGACAAGGAAAAAGGTTTGGATGAACCATAGGGCTGGTCTACATGAAAATATTTAGAACAGTATGGTGAGGTTGGTTAGGATGCTGATCTAGGCAGATCAGTATGAGCCTTAGTGTGGACACAATTACATAGAATCATAGAAAATTAGGGTTGGAAGGGACCTCAGAAGGTCATCTAGTCCAACCCCCTACTCAAAGCAGGACCATCCCCCAACTGTAACATCCCAGCCAAGGCTTTGTCTAGCTGGGTCTTAAAAACCTCTAAGGATGGAGATTCAGTGTCTCTGAGTAACTGGTTTCAGTGCTTTACAACCCTCCCAGTGGGCAAGTTCTTCCTAATATTTATCCTAAACTTCCCTTGCTACAACTTGAGACCATTGCTCCTTGTTCTGTCATCTGCCACCACTAAGAACAGTCAGGCTCCATCCTCTCTGGAACCCCCTTCAGGTAGTTAAAGGCTGCAAAACTGGACACAGCACTCCAGATGTGGTCTCACCAGTGCCAAATAGAGGGGAAAAAGCACTTCCCTCAGTCTGCTGGCAACTAATGCCAGCTCCTACTAATGCAGCCCAGTATGCTTTTAGTCTTCTTCACAACAAGAGCACACTGTTAACTCATATTCAGCATATTGTCCACTGTAATCCTCAGATCCTTTTCTGCAGAGCTGCTGCTTAGCGCCAGTCAGTGCCCCACCTGTACCTAAGTGTAGGACTTTGTTGTAGGACTTTGTACTTGTCCTTATTGAATCTTATGAGATTTCTTATGATCTAATCTTCCAAGTTGTCAAGGTCTCTTGCTGAGGCCCTATCCTCCAGCGTATCTACTACTCACTCCAGCTTGGTATTATCTGCAAACTTGTACTTTATAAAGTATACTTTTATAAAGATGCTTTACACTGATCACATTTATCCCTCTTCAAGAAAAGTTTTTCATGAAGATCATTTTTATGCTGGTAGCTCTGGATCCAAAACAGAGTCATTTTGGCACTTTAATAAGCCAATATCAAATAGCAAAACTTCCTCCTTTAGACAGTGCCTTAGGGGGTGGAGTTAGGCTTTCCAAATTAACCAGTTTCCTGGAGTTTTGGTGAAATTTACCCCTTGTTAATTTTGCACACTGATGAAATCCTCATCCTTTAGTCTGCTCTAAGGAGGAATGCTTTAACTGTTCTTCTTTTCCTTCTACCAGTCACTGGCAAAATGTATGAATTCAATTCAAAATCTGGGGCCCGGAGATGGAAAGATACAAAGGTGTTGACTGAGACAAAAATAACAGATCCAGTTGTACAGGTAATTTCAAGTGCCACAGCCAAAGGCGGGGAAGAGAAAGATGGAACAGGGACTCCAAGCAAAAAAGAGGCTGGGGTTGATGAGAAGGCACCAGAAGTGGAAAACATGGCAGCCAAGCCCACAGAAGGGATGACAGACACTTCTGGCCAGGGCAATCTGAAACTACAGGAGCCAAAAGAGAGAGCTTTAAGCAGGGGGTCACTCTTGACAGTCCCCCCACAAAGATCACCAGTCCTCTTTCCCAAAATATACCCCCCAATTGCCGCCAAAATCAGCCTTAAACAATGACCCGTGAGACTCTTTAGAGCCTCCCAACTGAATCCCAGTTAAGAAAACCTTTACCCTCAACTACATGGTTAATTCTCATGTTATTTACTATACTCATTTCTTACACTGAGAGACATTAAAGAGATGCTACTATGTAAATTAGACCCAGATATAGGAACATACTGTACCTGCCCTATGGAGATACATGCAACTGCAGGGGGATGGAAGGGTGTAATGTGTTTCCAGACCCAAACATACCTGCAGTCCTTCTGCTAAAGGCAGGTCTTGACTAGTGCTGCTTGTTACTGTCCATCCTGAAGAGGGGTGAGGGAGGAGGTGAGACCCACAGCTCAGAAGGAAGTACACGCTACACCACATTCAGAGGTGTCTCTACTTTGCTCTTAACATGGACCATTGCCTGAAAGGCACAACTGCACTCTTTGACAGCCGTAAAGGGAAGGAATTCATAGAATTTAAATATGAATAGGTTTTTATAAATTATAGTGGAAACAAGATGCGTCTTGATCTGAATCTTCTGTCATGATAGAGGCCTAAATGCAAGAGCCTCAAGCTCTTCTTAACACACAGGAGAAAGAGGAGCTGAAAGAACCAAGCTAGTGGCAAAAAGAAAAAACTGACAGCAGAAAGACCAGTTAGATTAAAAAAAAAAAAATCCAGTAAACTCGTCTGTTTTTTGGTAACAGTGAGGAATGCTTTCTTTGAATATGTTCTTCTTATCAAGATTACTTTCCAAAAATAATTACATCTATATTAAAGCGGATGCAGTGTTTGAATGGAAAAAAACCTGGTTTGTTATGATACTATAGGTCATTCTGTCCATTTACTTTGTTTTCATAATATTATCACTATCCGATTTGTTTCCTTTCTGTAGTTTCTCTAGGCCTTTTCTGTTTTGCAAAATAAAGCTAAAAATACTCAAAAGAAACTGATTTCACTATACATGTTGCAATAAGTACATGTGTAAGCATGTATGAAATGTATGCTGTATACCAGTGGTTCTCAACCTTTTTAGACTCAAGGCAACCCTTGTTAGACTTAAGAAACCCCTCATTAAACTCAAGGAACTCCTCAGAAAGTGCCAGCTTTTAGCTTTCACTCAGCTGTGTAGGGATGAAGCCATGTGCTTGAGGCAAAGAGGAAGCATTGAATTCCAGTTGCTGCCCAGATCATGATCATGCAGCTGCCAGCAGCAGCCCCCTTTTTTTTTTTTTTAAATACCCCTGCCTCCCTTCCCCAGTCAGTGCTTAGGGTGGTTGCCCCTATTTTCTCCCCACCCCATATTATACCACTGCTTTCACTTTTTTTGACTGTGGAAAAATAATGGAGCAATTCTTCTGTTGCAAAGGACTCAGAAAGACCACAGCAAATCAGAATGGTTTTGACCCTGTGGATTCCTATTCGGAATCTCTGGGTTTATCCTGTGAATCGTGTGTAGGTGTTAGCACCCCACGACACCTGTAAAAAAGGATCTCATAGCATCCTGGTTGAGAATACTAAATTTGTATATATAGTCCTGCTTATACAATACTAAAACAAGAAAAACATATTGCACAGTTGCAGGAAACAGCTTTGATTTAAAGAAAAAATATCTACAAATTATATGTTAATTTTCAAACATCCTCCGATTCTTTTCTTGAGTACATTTTTGTTTGGTGTCAAGGAAATTACTTCATTAGTTCAACCTCAACAGAGAATGGTTAGATTTAATTTTAGTGAAGATCCTAAGTTATAATTTTAGGATATCAGGTTCTAGCTTACTATATGGGCAGTGACCATATATCTGTTTCAGATTTGGCAATGCCAGTCTAATGTTCTAGGATTTCAGGGAAAAACATACAAGAATGGAATTGATTTCCCAGCAGTAGGACTTAATGGGGAGATGCACAGCAAATTCACTGGGGTCTGACAGGCTCTTTCTTGTAGTATTGCCATTGTATACAGATTCCAAGGAATAGGGAAGGGTTTCACTCAGGAACCATTTTCCTTACTAACATTAATTGCAACTGGAAAAGGAAGAAGCAGAGAGAAGTCCTTCAGTCATGACATTTCACTGAACAATTTAGTAACCCACTTTACCTGAACACAACATTAGA